GGCTTTTTCTTCTATAACTTCAAAACGGAACTTTTGATAAATAAAGAGAAATATTGTTCAAGACAAAGAAATGCATTCTTTTCGCCAGCAATAGATGGCTAGTGCGAGATAAATTAAATAATTAACTTAAAAAAACGTGTACACATCCATAGTATATTCACGAGAATGTTAATTATAACATTTCAATGTTTGATGAGCTACATAAAAAAGGTTAGAAAAACACAAAGAAAGAAAAAGCCATATTGTTTTTCCCACTATACTACCAAACAAACGTTTAGAGAACCCCATATTTACATAACAAACAGATAGCACACTCCTCACAAACACTTGACGTACTGATGGCACAGTCAATTAGGGTAAGCCGTCTATAAACACTTTGTGTAGAACCACTCAGGTAACCACTATGTATAGGTAACCACATTGTGTAGAACCAGTCAAGTAACCACTTTTTGTAGTACCACTTAGGTAACCACTGCGTGTAGTACCACTTATGTAACCACTGTGTGTAGCACCCAATAAAGTAACCACTGTGTGTAGTACCCTTCAAGTAACCACTTTGTGTAGTACCACTTAGGTAACCACGTTGTGTAGTACCCCTTAGGTAACCACTGTGTGTTGTACCATTTTGGTAACCACTTTGTGTAGTACCCCTTAGGTAACCACTTTGTGTACTACCATTTAGGTAACCACTTTGTGTTGTACCATTTTGGTAACCACTTTGTGTAGTACCACTTAGGTAACCACTTTGTGTAGTACCATTTAGGTAACCACTTTGTGTAGTACCACTTAGGTAACCACTTTGTGTAGTACCATTTAGGTAACCACTTTGTGTAGTACCATTTAGGTAACCACTTTGTGTAGTACCATTTAGGTAACCACTTTGTGTAGTACCATTTTGGTAACCACTGTGTGTAGTACCACTGAGGTAACCACTTTGTGTAGTACCATTTAGGTAACCACTTTGTGTAATACCCCTCAGCTAACCACAATGTCCAGTACAATGTATCGTGGGACGCCATAACTGTGTAAGGACTAATTATTAAAGAGGTGACATCTAAATGAGTTTCTATTTGCTTTGTATTCAGAACGCGCAAGTTTTCAAGGTTTAGCAAGCAAAAAAAAATTGAATTCAAAGCTGTTGAAGCGTTTCATTAGTTATTTAATTTATGTAAATTAGACATTAACATTACTGAAGGATCTCGGTATATACATTGGGATTGCTTCATTACCCCTGACCTTAGTGAGATAAGTGACATTAGTCATGACTTCAACTAGTAATGAGATAAGTGACATTCAGTGTTTCTTCCAGACTTTTTTCTCCGGGGGGGGGGGGGGGACACTTGAAATCTTCGGGGGGGGGGGGGGGCGGTAAACTTTCTTCGTTGGGGGGGGGGGGGGGCGGACACTGTTAAAAGTATATATTTTCTATATAAATTATATACATTTCATTTCGTTCGGGGGGGGGGGGGGGCGGTAAAAGTTTTTCGGGGGGGCTTTGCCCCCGAAGAGATGCCTGGAAGAAACTCTGGTGACATTAGTCATGATCTCAGCTGGTAGTGTAACAGTGATAAGATGCTAAAGTGCAGAAGTTTGCGATATGGGGTTAAAAAACAAGTTGTAGTTCTAAAATATGTGTTTGAAAAAAAAAACATACTTTAAGTTTTTTTTATTATGGTACCGTAATGCTTATTAGAGCTATTTTCGTTGCAGTAACTAAAAAAACGTTTTTGCTCTCCTGTCATGTATATCTAATTAAGCCCTCTTTAAAATGCCAGCCGGTAATTAATTAAATAAATAAAAAACGGAGCGCGCCACCTGGCCAGTTTTTTTTTACTTTCTCCTATATACGAAGTACAGAGAAAGTCTTGTAATCGTGCAAAAAAAAATCGAGATTTGTTCGAGACTTTTACAAATCTCGACGTTTTACACCCCACTGATACGGAAAAACATAATTTTGCAATCTTTGCCGTATGTCTGTGTGTCTGTGTGTGTGTGTGTGTGCGTGTTTAAACACGATAATTTGAGTACCGTTACAGCTAAGTTGATTAAATTGCATACATAAGTATTTTATCAAAATCGTAGATCCGTATCAACGTTTGAGCGATTTCCGATAAACAGAAGTGGTACTTTTTCTACTTTGAATTTTTCAAAAGCCTATAACTTGAGAATTATTTCCGATAGATAAATGACATTTTAACATGTAAGTAAAAGATCTAATTCTCTACCTTCTATATAATTTTGAGTAATTTCCGTGGACCGGAAGTAGTAATTTACTCCATTTCCGATTTCTCAAAAAAGCATGTAAATTTATAAAGTACTAATAATATTCCGCACTTTTATGCACATTTTGTTTTGGCGTTCGCTGGTGCGCAATTCTTTTTTCTACGAGATTCTATTGTATTTTTAAAAGTTTAAGTAATTAAAAATCATGTTTATATTCCAAGTTATATAAGAATATTCGAGAAAGTTTAGGGGAGATCACTCCCGGTTTATTTCGTGTGATTTCATTCGTTTTTGTTAGACTAAGTCTATATCACATTAAGTAAATACACGGTTTATAATCTGTTTATCTACATCTACAACTACTTTTCTTTTTGAATTTGCGTCCTTAGCCTTTGTCCAACCAAGAACAAACTACAAGGCTGCAGTTATTTGATTTTGGAATTGTCTCTCCTAAAAGAGTGGCTGTCCCCAGCTATCGTGCTCATTAATGTCTTTAGACAAACTATCTTTGACGAACAGTTTAGAGGAAATCAGTGGCGCTTGATGATAACGATCTTGATCATAACCTCGATGACCAAAGATTCAAACACGGTGTAGTCATAAAGAAGTTTTATATTTATGTGGGCGTAACACAACGAGACGTTAAATTCTGTATTGATTTCGTATTCAAATGCCAACATAAAAGAAATGTGTATGTAGAAAATGTACCAGAACACTGTGACGCAACACACGGCCGTCCATGTTCGTGACGGGGTTACGATCTGCTTGAAGTGTAGAGGCAGAAACACGGCGACCAGCCTCTCCACTGAGACCAGCATGGACCGGGTGAGAGAAACCCTGCCCGACCCGTAGTCCATGATGTGAAAGATGTGGTACAGCACATACAGGAAGTACGACACGGAGCGGACGTGCAGGAAACCGTCAACATTCAACATGATATCGTACATAGGTTTGGACATGCTGTTGAAACCGATGAGGAAGGTGATGTTGCTGACGGCAAGGGTGATGTGGTACATGACATTCAGGTTGTACATAAGCCTGCTGTAGTGGACACCTACATTAATTGCCACTGACATCTTAGTGACGTAGGCCTCTACACCAAAATACATGAACAGCTACCAACCTTGCTGATGATACTCAATATTCAACATCACTACACTGGAGCATTAAAAAATTCTTTAGAGATGTTTACAAACTGGTTCTCAAAATATTCGATTTATTTGTCTACTTGATTTAACACTATGTACACTAAATTGTGTCTGCTCAGGAATAGAACATACCACCAATAAACGAACTAACCAAACTTTTCTAGCTATCGGAGGCTAGAGGTATCATGACTTCAAGCAAATTAAATAATAAGTAGTTTTACAAAATGTCGACATTGATCAGGCGATTAAAAGTAGTTTGGTTCACGATGTATTGAAATTTAATTTATTTGATGTATCGATTTAGAATAAGTTAAACTGTTTTGTCAATTACGTTATGTTTAATTCGGGAATTACAAATAAATTATGCGCTTGGTGATGTCAGGTATGATATAAAAGAAAATTATTATCGACATATTAATTCGCTGAAAAATAAAATTGACTCATTTAATTTATGCAATTAACTTTTACATCGACGCACGTCGCTTCCGTGACGTTGCATTCAGAATGATGCAGGCACGTGACAACGTCAGGCCTGAGGCAAGAATTTGATTGGTCATTCACCAAACTTAATTTGAAATCTCAATCACATCCAAGTTAGATCTAATTGGTAGTTGGTTTATGCACTTAAAAATTGAGAGCTCGGCAATTTAATCTGTAATTTATTCAATAACGAACAACTGGTTGAGTCTTAGATTCGTAAAGTTTCCTTTAAATAATTGAAAAAGTTGAAAGGTAGAGAATATTTTTGTTTACACTTGGCTGATCCTGAAACTTGCGTGCAGTTGTAGTGAGTAGATAGGTTACCATTGGTGGTAGTTAGATGGTATGAGAAGTCACGGAGGAGTTACTATGGTGTTATTTAATCCAAACAGGCTGTTTAGTTGTTTGCATGTTGATTGGTTCGTTTTTCACCTGTAATGAAGCTATTTTGTTTTTTTTCAGCGTTACATTCTTCTTCGGAGACAGTGAAAGAATATCTAATTTTTAATCGATTCATCGATGTAAGTGTCACTAAAAATTAATTAAAATATTATTTACTTCATAATTTAATTCTCTACTGGCTAGCCGTTTAGTGTGAGCTGGTTACGGATCGTTGGTTTCACTAAGAAAGTAAAGGTCAATTCCCATTTTTGACAAAACCATACACAGGGCAGATGAAATAGAGTTCACGTGGTTTTCGACTTCGGTTAATGAAGGAATGAGCGAGGGTGTTATAAATGCATGTCAGTAGTTTTATGGTGAAATATATGTCGCTCGTCTGTTTAAAACCTGTTAAATATAATTCGGTAGAGAAAGTAAAGGCGGCTGGGCATAGTGCTGACAACATTATCCCCTTGTTTGTCGATATAAGTGCAACAGATGAACTCTACTTCATCTGCCCCACGTGAATACGAAAAAAAAAGAATTATAAAAAAATTCACATATTTAAAATAAAAGTATGAACAATAACAAACGACAGATTAATCCTTTACGATCATCTAAATTAATAACATTACTTCAAGTTTTATTATTATAAAAAAGAGTAGATGAAGTATTACACATCTATTTTTGTTCTATTACAGGTTATTGATTAGAAAATTAAATCACGTTCTTGCTGGGTTAATAGTAGGTTCGCTTTGAAACAATCAAATGCAAGACCCAGATGGTGTACACCAGAGGAACTACAGCAGCACGGCTGGTGTTGAAGACGATGTCCTGACAACAGTCCAGCTGGTCAGTGATGAGACAACCAAGCTCATCATGCGAGTTTTGATGTACGGCGTCACGCCCACCATCTCCATCTTTGGCATCATCGGTAACATTTTCACCGTCCTGGTGTTGCGGAGACACGGTTTTAGGAAATGTTCCAACATCGCCTTGGTCTCCTTGGCGGTCAGCGACGTGACGTTCCTCATTGGCTTCAACAGCGTGCCCAAACTTCTCTACGAGATCGGCTCTAGTCTAGACGTGTTTACCTACAGCCAAGGCGTGTCCTACGTCTTGTTTGTCCTCTACCAGATCTTCCACATCATGGGCTACGCCTCTGCTGGTGTCTCTCTCTGTATACCTGTGCTGATCACGTTTGAGAGACTCATTGCTGTTTTTTTACCTTTATACTTCCGCCTTGTGGTGACGCCTCGACGCACCTGGGCAGTTGTGGTCTGTCTTGTGGTGTTTTGGTATGGTTTCTTTATCCACACCAGTTTCTATTCCACATTTGACTACCGGTTTAGTCTGGAACTGAACTTGACGGTTGGGGTGATACAGCGGTCAGCTTACCACTACAGCAACGTCAAGACCGTCTTTATCCTTGAGGAGACTTGGTCACTGCTGATGATAAAGATACCGCTGCTGCTTACTTTTATCGGCTGTTTGGGCATCGGCATTAAAATAAAATTGGCGTCCATCAAACGGACGCACATGACAAACTCGAGTTCAAGCGAGGCGTCGTCCAACCGTACAACCAAGATGTTGCTGGCTGTGTGTACACTGTACACGTGTACCTGCGCCATCCTGTCCCTACCCACATACGAACCCCAGTATTTTTACTACACCATGACCACCGACGCCCCGTCCAACTTGGGCACGATCCTGTACCAGGTGATCAACATCGTCTTGTGTATCAATAGCTCCTGCAACTTCATCATCTACGTCGTGATGAACAAAAACTTTAGGCTCACTTTCAGGGCTCTCTTTGTGAGACAAGAAAAACTTTAGACTACAGGGCTCTCTTTGTGAGACAAGAAAAACTTTAGGCTCACATTCAGGGCTCTCTTTGTGAGACAAGAAAAACTTTAGACTACAGGGCTCTCTTTGTGAGACAAGAAAAACTTTAGGCTACAGGGCTCTCTTTGTGAGACAAGAAAAACTTTAGACTACAGGGCTCTCTTTGTGAGACAAGAAAAACTTTAGGCTACAGGGCTCTCTTTGTGAGACAAGAAAAACTTTAGACTACAGGGCTCTCTTTGAGAGACAAGAAAAGCTTTAGACTACAGGGCTCTCTTTGTGAGACAAGAAAAACTTTAGACTACAGGGCTCTCTTTGTGAGACAAGAAAAACTTTAGACTACAGGGCTCTCTTTGTGAGACAAGAAAAACTTTAGACTACAGGGCTCTCTTTGTGAGACAAGAAAAACTTTAGGCTACAGGGCTCTCTTTGTGAGACAAGAAAAACTTTAGGCTACAGGGCTCTCTTTGTGAGACAAGAAAAACTTTACACTACAGGGCTCTCTTTGTGAAACAAGTAAAACTTTAGGCTACAGGGCTCTCTTTGTGAGACAAGAAAAACTTTAGGCTACAGGGCTCTCTTTGTGAGACAAGAAAAACTTTAGACTACAGGGCTCTCTTTGTGAGACAAGAAAAACTTTAGACTACAGGGCTCTCTTTGTGAGACAAGAAAAACTTTAGGCTACAGGGCTCTCTTTGTGAGACAAGAAAAACTTTAGGCTACAGGGCTCTCTTTGTGAGACAAGAAAAACTTTACACTACAGGGCTCTCTTTGTGAAACAAGTAAAACTTTAGGCTACAGGGCTCTCTTTGTGAGACAAGAAAAACTTTAGGCTACAGGGCTCTCTTTGTGAGACAAGAAAAACTTTAGGCTACAGGGCTCTCTTTGTGAGACAAGAAAAACTTTACACTACAGGGCTCTCTTTGTGAAACAAGTAAAACTTTAGGCTACAGGGCTCTCTTTGTGAGACAAGAAAAACTTTAGGCTACAGGGCTCTCTTTGTGAGACAAGAAAAACTTTACACTACAGGGCTCACTTTGTGAGACAAGAAAAACTTGGTAGTTTTACACAAAGACATGGTATATACAATTATTAAATAAAGAAACGGGGATAGCATACGAACGATCTACCATTCGACCACGAAGTCCTATCACTGCTTCAAGTTCTGGTTCAGATGGTGTTATCAAAGGCTTGAGGTAGAAAACAAAGGAAGAACATGAAAGGATTAGAAACCACCTAGCTAAAAAAATCACTCCAACTTTCATTTAAATCTTCTTCTTTTTCTTTCTTAATTTTAGTGTTGGAGAGGTCCCCTCCAGCACAGTTAAGTATACGTGTCAACTGGTTATGCGCCATTGAGGCAATTTACTCCGATTTCAGCCTGCTTTTCTTTTTGGATTTGCTTCCATTGTCTTTATCCAACCAAGAACAAGCTACAAGGCAGCAGTTATTTGAATTTGGAGTTGTCTCTCTTTCCTAGAAGAGTGGCTGTCCCTAGCTAACGAGCCTCATCTGCCCGATGGCTCAAACTCGAGACTTATCGGTTTAGCGGCTTTACAGACGCGACCACGCCGACCCTTAATTCATTGAAATAATGAAATAGAAACAGTACATAATTCATATTCGGCCAGGCCAGGTGGATGGTTTGGAATATGAGCTTTCAAAGAGTACAAAGTTCACAAAAAATGCGTAAGTTTTTGGTAAGCCGCGCACAGTTAGAGAAGTTATTTTCCTCTCACCAAAAACACTTTATAGAAGAAATAGATAGTACAAATGGAAATGTTAGTATTCAATCAACCTAACAATCGTCCTTTAACCCTAATTTGTGTTGTAGGGCAAAAAGATTTAATTTCTCGTAGTTTCCTCTGTCGTTTATGCTCCGAGTAGTTTTGCAACGAGCAGCCGAGTCCTATATATGACGTCTTTGTATTAAACTTCTTCTCTTCCCAGGCATCGTGCCCGACAGTAATGTTGGGATAAGCCGTTGGATGCTAATCATGTTCTAAAGCACATAAAATATATGAATCAGTGAGCTGATGTTTAATGTTCTTAACATGTGAATATAAAACTCTCAAATGTAGCTGAATCTCAGCGGGGATGCTAAGATGAACCTTTAATTAGCTAAGAGCTGAGGACTTACACAATTAGTTATTAAAAACAAAAGCCTATTAGGAAACCGTAAGCTAAGTAAAAGGGGAGCGGAATTGTTTCCGAAAGACACTAACCCGATTGCAGTTTCCCCGAAGACTGTTTGCCTGAGTAGACACTTGCCCGAATAGACGTTTGGCCGAATGCGACAAATGCCGCAATGGACTTTCGCTGTTTTGATGTCATGTTTTGCGGGCTGTTGTTGCTGTTTTGATGTCATGTTTTGCGGGCTGTTGTTGCTGTTTTGATGGCATGTTTTGCGGGCTGTTGTTGCTGTTTTGATGTCATGTTTTGCGGGCTGTTGTTGCTGTTTTGATGTCATGTTCTGTGGGCTGTTGTTGCTGTTTTGATGTCATGTTCTGTGGGCTGTTGTTGCTGTTTTGATGTCATGTTCTGTGGGCTGTTGTTGCTGTTTTGATGTCATGTTCTGTGGGCACACAACACCGAAACGATAATTTAAATATGTACACAACACTGAGAAAGTCATTTGAACATGTACACACAGTAGACAAAATATTTGAACCTGTACACAATACTAACCATATCAACTAACAAGTACACAACAATGACAATATCAGTTGAACAAGTGACAATGTCACAGAACTAGTCATTTCTTCCCTGCTAAATTAAGGAAAGAATCATTGCCGAGTATTCTTTCTGTCTGATTTAAACACCCACTAGCCTAAGGGAAAGAACTCTTCAAATGACTGCTGTAATTTCTCCGCGATAAATTTTGTTTACACTGCCGCTCAAAGGTTAACCTCAAAGATATAGATACCTGGTTAACTTCACCAATATCGATACTGACTCTATGTCATAGGTGAATGCTGGTACAACTAAGTGACTTTTTGCTTCCGGCGTGATACTGTCACGTGCAGGCACAAGATCAAATATCACGTCAAAGAAATCTGACAAGTGATTATTCTTCGTAGTTTTTAAAACATTCGAGTTGCGTCCCCTGTAGCTGAACTCCATGAACCCAGATACCCGCCATGACAATTCATCGAATCTCCTGAACGCTACGATTACTCGACGTAACGGTTTAAACTTAATCTTGGGACAGATTTAAAATCCGTTGAATGTAATCGAAATTCGATACCAATGAAAAAAACAGACGATGTTATGCTGTCTTTCAGTCCACAAAATGGTTAATTGTTTAATAGCAAGTAAACGCTAGTCCCCATTGGCTTGGTAATTGGCTCTGACTTGACTTAATAAAATGTTTAAGAATTATTTGTAATCAATACATAATTACCAGTCCCTAAAATTATTTTATAGATTTATAAACATTGTTTATTTTAATTTCATCTTACAATTTAAAATAGAAAATACTAAAAAATGTAAATGATTACATTAGTTGTATTTTTTTAATAGACAAACAAAATAAAACTAGAGGTTACCGAGTTCATTTAGCCTGTAGCTTATCAAGTAAGTTTATAGATGGGTCATAAACCCAAGTTCGTATATACTTATGTACGTATGTACGTATGTGCGTATGTATGTATGTAGGTATTTATTTATTGTATCACCTTTTGGACGATTTCAGTTAAATGAAAGTGGTACATATTCAACTTCAGTTTTCTAAAAAGCTAATAACTTAAGTAACCTAACTTTAATTTTAGGTCGACTAATACATTATTTTCGCAAGCTTCTATCAAAAGAACGATTTCCTGTTAATGGAAGTGGTATTTAACTTTTTCCTTAGTTTTAAAGACTGTAACATGAGCAATGTTCCAGGTAGTTAAACGAAATTTTCTTGTAAGTACAGATGAGGCTCGTCAGCTGGGGACAGCCACTCGTCTAGGAGAGAAATCTCCAAAATGAAACAACTGCTGCCTCGTAGTTTGTTCTTGGGTGGATAAAAGCTATTGAACCTAATCCAAAAAGAAAAGTAGGCTAAAATCGGAGTCAATGGCGCATAACTAGTTGACACGTATCCTTAATTGTGGTGGAGGGGGGGGGGGATCCCTTCCAACACTAAAATTTAGAACGAAGAAGAAGTGAATATACAAGATGCATTTTTAAACAATAAATTACGAGTAGGCCTAAAACGTTACTGAATATAATTTGTACTTATTTGATTTATATTGAGCAATTCATCATTTCCATCTCGCAAAAATAATGAGGCATTTCCGAGTTAAAGACATGTATGTCAACTAGCTCTTTATAAAGTTGGATGCTAAGAAGAAACATGGCGACCAAAGTGGCTGTTTGTTTGTAAATACAACTCAAGTTTAACAACCTATAATACAGAAAGTTTTGCCTCTAAAAATGTAACTTACTTCAACACCAACAATCGCGCTAATGTGAAAAGTAGTCTGGACCTACTACAAAAAAACAACAAATACAAATGAAAAGTTAAACCAGTAATATTTTGAGAATCACTTGATTCAAATTAACCGACATATTTTTTTATAGAAATATACCCGAGTGTGTGAACTCAGTTTACACAAGTTTCACATGAAGTGCAGGGAGTAAAAACAACTTTAGCAACAAGATAAGAATTTGCTTTCTACGTTATATCACCAGGATGTTGGCCTTAAGATTTGCATAGCAGATATACCAGTGTGAAAATGTCACGACCCCTCGGACCCTGCTGTAAGAATTGATGTAAAACTTTTTTTTTTACCTCGATTTCAAAACTGGTTCTCAAAATAAAATAAAAAGTACATATAAAGAATATAATAAGAAAAATCGTTAGTTACATTTAAACTATGATATTAGGTTTGTTTCATCTACTTTATTTCAAACAGACGTTTTTATACCCAAACAAAAAAAAATTGCCTTCTTCAAGCACAAGTAAGCTTAGCATGTGTATGCAAATAAAAATAAAATTATTTTAAATATCATTATTCATACCAAATTAATTCGCATTATTACTAAATATACGTTTCTTAATATTAAGAAACAAGTACGTTTTTAACGAAGTGATAGCAGAAATAACCCAACAAAGTCTTGTCACTGCTTCAGCAATAATATTGAACGATATTTAATATTTATACAGCGTTTACAAACGCACACGATCTTTTTTTTTAATGTCTTCGGTTATATTAATATTTTATTAAACGTAAAAACGAGATACAACTTGACTAAAGTGTCACACTTGTATATTGTATTTGAGAAAGTAAAATATATATTGTCATCTTCTCTATGTGTATACTTAGTAGTTTATGTCTCATGAACTATACAGTTTTAAACTAATCTCACATGTTAAAAGGCCGAGCAACATATATTTTGTGTAGCAGGCTATGATTTCTTTTGTTTTTTATATAATTGAATTATGCTTATGACCTATCTCATACGTTAATCACACGACTTATCAATATAAATTATATGCTGGTCACATGACTCATTCACACACCTCAGGTGATGATCAAATGAGTCTCCACCACATGTCAGATGATGGTCACATCAGGTACCACCACATGTCAGATGATGGTCACATCAGGCATCACCACATGTCAGATGATGGTCACATCAGGCATCACCACATGTCAGGTGATGGTCACATTAGGCACCACCACATGTCAGATGATGGTCACATCAGGCATCACCACATGTCAGATGATGGTCACATCAGGCATCACCACATGTCAGATGATGGTCACATCAGGCATCACCACATGTCAGGTGATGGTCACATTAGGCACCACCACATGTCAGATGATGGTCACATCAGGTACCACCACATGTCAGGTGATGGTCACATTAGGCACCACCACATGTCAGATGATGGTCACATCAGGTACCACCACATGTCAGGTGATGGTCACATTAGGCACCACCACATGTCAGATGATGGTCACATCAGGTACCACCACATGTCAGGTGATGGTCACATCAGGCACCACAACATCTTAGGTGCTGGCCACTTGATTCAACACTACATTGCATTTTCTGGTCACATGACTAACCCCTACGTTACACTTCTAATCACATGACTTACGTCTGAATACCAGATCCAGATAGTGCTACCAATAATATCTAATATTAAAGCTTAATTCTGTATGTTTGTAAAATGTTTGTCGTGGATACTTCAATGGATTTAAGTGTTAGATAATTAAAGCGCTCATGGCCTACATGCATGGTTTAAAAAATTAATACTGAAAGTGTTGGGTAATAAATTTCATTTTTCAAACTGAAAGTAATAATTGTCGGCATGTTCATTAAACACAGTTTTAAAAAATATCACATTTTACAAAAATTCTAATTATGTCTGAAAATTATTTATATTTAGCTCTTTAGCACTTACTTCCCTTTGATAAATTAGGAAAACACAATTACTTCTCTTTAAAAAACATTGCATTAGTGGAAAAGAATTTACTTTTTATTACTTTGTCTTGGTGTTGGGAAAAAAATAATTACATAATTAGCGGGGATTGATCAAGTGCAAATGTTGTAGGTATTTTTAACACTGCCTGTTATTTATTCTATACACTGAACTTACTGTTTACTAATTATTTTTTAAATTCAATAACAGTTATAAACCAGGTCCTACATGTCCTATATGTTTATTTCTTTCCGTTTACGGATTAGCTTGGAGTATTATAATTGTCCTCTGGCGCCCAGACAGGGTGCTATTTGGGGCCCCAGGCCTCCTGTGTTTGGTTTGGCGCCTACGTTCGTTTAAGAAAGTGCAAAAGACTATGAATAAGTTGGGGTATTATAGTCGTTTATTAAGCTGAAACAAGCGATTCCGCCGGCGCCCCAGCATGGTGCGATTAGGCGCCCCGTGCTAGACTATAAGCACTTTGCGTTTATGTTCGCGTTTGTGTTTTCTTTGTGTTTAGGTTGGGTTTGCGTTAGTGGTTGGGTTTGCGTTTTGATTTTGTTCGTTTTCGTTCTTTCTTTTTCTTTTTCGTTTTCGTTTGTGTTTTTTTTCTTTGGGTTTGTGTTTGTTTTTGTGGTTGGTTTTGTTTTTGTGGTTGGGTTTGGGTTTGTGTTATCGTTTGTATTAGTGTTTGCGCTTATGTTATGTTTCCTTTCTTTATTTGTGTTTTGGTTGGTTGTGGTTAGGGTGGGCAATGCCGGGTATATGCTGATTACTAAACACACATGTCAGGTTTCTTTACAAATAGGTTTTAGAGAGCTCTTTTAAAGACACCTGCACCAAACTACAAGAAGATATACAATTTTATATAATACTAGCCGCCCCGGTTTGTGTTGTGTTGTGTTTTGTTTGTGTTGTGTTGTGTTTTGTTTGTGTTGTGTTTTGTTTGTGTTGTGTTTTGTTTGTGTTGTGGTTGTGTTGTGTTTTTGTTGTGTTTGTTTGTGTTATGTTCGCGGTTCTTTTTTTGTGTGTTTTGGTTTTGGTTGGTAATGGTTAAGGTGGGAAATGCCGGGTATATACTGATTACAAAACACACTTGTCATGGTCGTTTACAGATAGGTTTTTCACTGAGGCCAGAGCAGGGCCTGGCTCGGACGGCTAGTTATACATAATTCAGGTTAAATAGCTGAATGGTGTTACTATTTTTTTAAACTGTCAAAACATGTGTGGTGTCTAGCCTTCAATAGATACAAACATAATGAAAGTGAAACGTATGAAAATACATTTCTAAATCTAATATATAAAGCTCAATTCTGTATCGCATATGTTTGTCGTTGGTCTTGGATGGATTAAAGTGTTATAATATTATCGTGCGCATTTCTCTAAATTTATGAGTTAAAAAATTACTATTGAAAGTGTTGGGAAATCATTTTCATTTTTCAAATTATAGTAATAATTGTCGGCATGTTCATTCAACGCAAGTTTTAAAAAAATATCATCTTTTTACAAAAATTCTAATTATGTCTTTATATAGTCCTATAGCACTTACTTCCCTTTGATAAATTAGGAAAACACAATTACTTCCCTTTATAAAACCATTGCATTTAGTGGAAAATAATTTACTTTTTAATTACTTTGTTTTGGTGTTGGGAAAAAAAAATAATTACATAATTAGCGGGGATTGATCAAGTGCAAATGTTGTAGGTATTTTACGGATAAGCTTGGAGTATTATAATTGTTCATCAAATTGAAACAGGCGCGTTCGTTTAAGTGAGTGCAAAAGACTATGAATAAATTGGGGTACTATAGTCGTTCATTAAGCTAAAACAGGTGATTCCGCCCCGGGCGTTTATGTTCGCGTTAGTGTTTTCTTTGTGTTTAGGTGGGTTTGCGTTAGTGGTTGCGTTTTGATTTGGTTCGTTTTTGTTCTTTCTTTTTTCGTTTTTGTTTGTGTTTTTTTCTTTGGGTTTGTATTTGTGTTTTTGGTTGGTTTTGCGTTTGGATTTGGTTTGTTTTCGTTTGCTTTTTCGTTGTTTTTTTGTTGTTGTTGGTATTGGTGTTTGTGGTTGGGTTTGTTGTTAGGTTTTTGTTTTCGTTTGCTTTTTTGTTTGTTTTTTCTTTGTGTTTGTATTGGTGTTTGTGGTTTTGGTTGGGTTTGTTGTTAGGTTTTTGTTTTCGTTTGTATTTGTAATTGTGTTAGCATTATGTTTGCGTTTTGTTGTTTTGGTTGGTTGTGGTTTGGGTGGGCAATGCCGGGTTTATGATGATTACTAAACACACAGGTAATGGTCTTTATCAGAAAGGTTTTTCACAGACGCCAGAGCAGGGACTGGCCGGGACGGCTAGTATTCAAATATTCTTTACATTAATATTTTTTTTCTAAAATTGAATGTCATTAAAAACTAATTTAGTTAAAAACAAATATAGTTATTGTCAATACTTGACATCTTGTAGAGAGATAAAATGTATGGCTTCATGTGGACGTAATAGAAAACGTTCTTTTGCTTTTAATATGGAAAATATAGTAACCTATGTAATAATCTTAAGGATAATTTAATTTTAACGCCACACTAAAGTGTAACACCTGGGTTATAGAACACCTTTGTACTCGACAAGCTGGAAGTTTTAATCAACTAAACGGTATATTTCATTTAGCAGCTTCCACCCCAGCTTCCAAATCAATCATATTACGTTGGTCTCTTACAGTTGCCTTTTAATGAGCTTTGTAGATTTAAGTCTTGAATTGTATCTCCGATTTTTATAAAACTTTTTGCAAGACAGACGGTCTATGAGTAAGGCGTAGAAGAGTTCACTTATTTTAATGACCTCAGTCTATAAGGGATAGCGTGTCCAGCACTATGCCCAGCCTCTTTACTTCCCCTAACATTAGTAGGTACCCACCAGGGCTGGGTGTACTCAAGGATGTTCTACTGACATGAAACTGTGATTCGAACTGAAGGATTTTGTGTCTGCTTTACCCAATCGACAAACTACGCCGCCCTTCTTTATTGTAATGTTGTGTGCTGGCAATAATCGTGAGTCGGAAAACTAGTTTAGATTGGTACTGTTCTTTTTAATAAGTTACATATTCAATTACACATATTTTAAACTGGAGTAATATTGCACAAAAACTGCATATTAAATGTTTTAATAACAAGATTCAATGTAATAATGCACGTGGGTCGACTCTTAGATTTTATAAAGTTTACTGAATTACAATTTGAAAAAATACTTAAAAAAAAAACTTTTTAAAAAACCACGTTTTTCTTGTGGACTAAAAAGTAGAAAATAACTATTTACATACATTTGATGACAAAAAACGTGGGTACGTTCACCATCAAATTTCCCGACCCATCTGCCCGACCCACGTTTTTTGTCATCAAATGTATGTAAATAGTTATTTTCTACTTTTTAGTCCACAAGAAAAACGTGGTTTTTTAAAAAGTTTTTTTTTAAGTATTTTATTTTCTCCTTTTTAGTCCGTTGCTACACATGAAAAACGTGGTTTTTAAAAAGTTTTTTATATAGTTTATTTTCTACTTTATCTAATCACTTGATTAAGTATGACTTGACTAAGTGTTTTTAAATACACGGACTAAAAAAATCTTGAGCGACCGATACGCTTTAAACAGAGAAAGGGTGTAATTTACGTTGCTGGCGTGGAGATCTACTCACGAATCACGTGATCAAATCTCCCATAAACAAACAAATAAACGCGAAGCTGAGTTAAGGAAAAACGTGTTTATGTGTATTTTAGCATGCCCAGCGTACCAACCGTGTCACCGTTAACAATGTGTTACCGTGTCCGTTCTCCTTTTTAGTCCGTTGCTACACATAAAAAACGTGGTTTTTTAAAAAGTTTTTTTTAAGTATTTTATTTTCTCCTTTTTAGTCCGTTGCTACACATGAAAAACGTGGTTTTTAAAAAAGTGTTTATAAATACACGGACTAAAAAAATCTTGAGCGACCAGGATTCGAACCTGGGTTGTCGCGGCCACAACGCGAAGTACTAACCACTATACGATCACGGCCAGCGCGCTCACATCGATTGTGGCCGAAGTAACTGTGTCAATAGGCCTCAAGTCTTGTCGGTATGTTTAGAAATCATGTCCTCGATTTTATGGTCCTTGGGGCGTAATTAAATTAAGCTAATTACGGTCACTAATTGCTAGTTTTTATGATTGCATCTGAAATTGTTAGGCGAAAGTAGCATGCATGCCAAATTTCAGGTCTCTAGAGCAATCAGAAGTGGGCTAATTTTCGATGTCAATTTTAACAACAAACAAATCCACACATCCACAAACGCGAAGCTGAGTTAAGAAAAACGTGTTAAAAATGATAGAACACGATGTGTCGTTAAGAATCTCATAAATCTCTAAAATTAACACTAGTTGTTTAAGAAGCCTCGCATATGATATTAGGCAGATTTACGAAAACTGAAAATTCCTTGTTTCTAATTTTAAACTTTTGAATAAAACTTTACATTTGGCCTGGCTCAAACCGCAGGGTGATAAATTTATCAGCAGATTTATATGACCCTAAAAATATAGTTAATAAACAGCTTACAGATGATGCATGATGCAATTTAAAAAAAAATGTCTGTACAATTTCTTGTCTTCGGGTGAATGAATAATGATGGAATTATATGTAAAAGAACAAAAAGTCAACAACGTTGTCATAATTGCGCCAAAATATATAAAACTGATGAAAAACAAAACGCCATGAGAATATGTTTACATTTAAATGTTAGTTTAGTATATCATTCTCTACATCGAGCCCGCCAGTGTAAGATTTGAAGCACAAAGTTCTCCAGCCAATATTGAAGAAACAGAGGTTAAATAATTTGGCGTTCTGCATAGGTTAGCGAAGGACACACTGCATCATACGCATACGCATCTTTCTCAGATCTAAGGGGAACTTGAACTTTAGTATTTTATATATATATATATATATATATATATATATATATATATATATATATATATATATATATATATATATATATATATATATATATATATATATATATATATATATATATATATATATATATATATATATATATATGCGTATGTGTGTGGATGTGTTCGATTTTTTGTGTGTGTGTTTATTTGTAAAAATGTACATCTTTCATAACTAAAGTAAAACAGGTAGATTCGACATATGTAGACCAGGAAGCTATCACCTTGAGGGGTTTACATTTAGGCTGTGCCACAAATATTTCCCCAGTAGCCGTATAGAACCTTCGTATCCCATTTTCCCACGTTTTCTTTAACTTGCTTTCTCTGTGTCTGTGTTTCTGTGTTTGTTTGTCTTTCCAATCAAATCTTGCGATCGAAATTTCTGGCACTTCCCAGTTAGCTAGCGCGCTGAAATTTTCAGGGAAGCTTTCTTTTGGATGACCATAGAATATGCAATTGTTATTATTACTAAATTGATCAATGGAAACATTTTATTGAGCATTTTAGACCGCTATATAATCTATATATATAATTCTCCTCTGCGAGCCATTAGAAAAAAAACCAGCGACGCGTACCTCGCGCGCAGTGAAGCGAACGATCCCACGTTGACACAGGCTTAGGGGCAAATAATTTACTTTGAACCGAGTTTAAACTTACAGGATGTAGGCCAGTTTGGGGGAGACGATATGGTCGAGTGGTTGGGCACACGATTGCTATCCCACTCGACACGGGTTCAAATCTATGTGTTCTAGTCAGTAACGTATTCACACAACGATTTTTTTTCGAGTTGTCTTTTTACGAGTTGTCTTTTTACGAATTGTCTTCGTTTACCCAAAAAAAAGTGAAAAGATAAAATCGATAGCAAGATTTTAATGCAAACAGACAAAGACTAAAAAGTAGAAAATAATAATCATTAAAAAAGTTTAAAAAAACCCACGTTTTCTGATTGAACTAAAAAGTAGAAAATAAATACTATACATCACAATAATGCAAGCGATCACTCTACTATAAGCGATCAAAAACGTGGGGCGCCGTGATTTTCTTACAGTTTCTAATACTGTTGACTCTCTACAAGCTCCCTAATAAAAGTCAATAGTATTATCTAATCAATAGTAATATAACTTTTACTTCGGCGCCCCACGTTTTTGATCGCTTATAGTAGAGTGATCGCTTGCATTATTGTGATGTATAGTATTTATTTTCTACTTTTTAGTTTAATCAGAAAACGTGGGTTTTTTAAAACTTTTTTAATGATTATTATTACCCAGTCACGCTCCCCCTACCGTGACAGCATGTCTTTGATAACAGCAATACTCTGGGAACACACACATACAAATGTCTTTGATGGCAGCAATACTCTGGGAACACACACATACAAATGTCTTTGATGGCAGCAATACTATGGGAACACACACATACAAATGTCTTTGATGGCAGCAATACTCTGGGAACACATCTAACTTGTTAAAGGGGATTTTGAAACGTAATGACGAGCAACGCTAAAACAACGTTTAGCTAGGACCAGAGATAAAGAAATAAGGCTAGTACTCGAGCTAATACCAAAAATAACATTAAGGTAAAAAAATAACTTGAGTTATTATCTGTTTGATAATTCAGAAGATTTTTATTATGTGTTCAAAGTGATTTTTTTTTATTTTTAGGGTTCCCTTAGGCAGCTGAAGTGATTCAACCTGAAGGGTGAAATGACAGGTATTGCATTTACGGGGACAAGGAGTGGTGCCAAACCTGGTGTTGGTAGTGGGTAGCGGGCGCCCCTTCCTATACAAAAGTGGTCTGCATACCTGACACCACCCCCCCCCCCCCTCTCAAGTGATGAACGATCTGTCCTAAATAAAGGCTATTACTTACTAATTGAATTAACCTCACTGCGGCTACCATTTACATTGTATTGTACACAATCGACACTAAATTGTTCACGGGAGGTAACAATTAAAATTGTCAATTTAATCAGTGAGTATGGTTATATACCTTGAAAACGATAAGAAAAGAATATTTCAATCTCAGTAATAAAAAATATTCAAAATTAAACTTTTCTTTTGTACTGATATGTACTTATATGTGATATTAGAAATTTCTTAATAAACAAACATGCTCGATATGAGATACATTAGATAAAATATTAACTACTTAAACATAGGATTAACTTAAATAATCTATTTTTATTCTACTATATGACCGCCTAATTTTCACATTTATAATACAAAGCTTTACAGATCCCTAATTAACAGTTACAATCTACTTTATGTGATGTTGGATGGCATAAATATCTTTTGAAAAACTATACGAAAAAAAAATTATTGAAAAAATTGCACGCGTTACCAGGGTTGAACTTCACACGATCCGGGTGAATGGCTAATTGAAGATTTAGTGTTAGATGCACTACTAGTCTAGTTATGATTATGCAAGAAGTAAATTATACCATCATAGTCGTTTTTTGTCCTCTTTTAATGGCTAACACACACACACACACACACACAGTCAATCTATGAGATATTTCAATTCTAGATGACTGCATAAATAGCTTTATTAATCATAATAGCAAACAAACTCTGTTGGAGTTTTTAAAATCATTTTTAAAAAAAAATGTATGGTTTAATGTTCCTTAATTTTAAACTTCTTAGTCATACTCATCATCAAGAAAATATTGCCTTAGATACAAGTTTACATCTATTTATTTTAATATATGTAATGTTGTTTATGGTTCTGAAGATTTTATAAATAATTTGATTACTGTTTGCCCATTATTTTACCATAGCATCGTTTCGGGTTGTTTACATGCGACGAAGTTTCATCTCAACAAAGTCTAGAGAGACGGACGTGTCTGTAATGCTATGCCAATGAATTCCTTTCTTACTAACAAGACTCGCCCATTCACCGTTGACGTTAACACCGTGACAAGCCTTATACCACCAACCACCGCTACTCCAGTCTACAGCACAGTTGCCATCTGACCACTCATCGTTATCAGAGTCAAAGGTTGTAAACTTATCGCCGCTGTGCTGACTAAACTCGTCTCCAACATTCCCACCACTGAATGACGTGTTGCTCATCTTATACTTTGCTGCTTCATTTTCTACCTTAAAATCTCTGTACACAGCGTAGTAGTCTTTACCTTTATACTTCATGTCAAATCTGAGTTCATTATAACCCTGTGTTAGACAAAAAATTAGAAATATTTAGATATTGCATTGTGTTTAAAATATTTTAAGTAGTGATCTGCTAATATTATATGATAAGTATACATACTGCTAAAAAATGTAACAAAAACTATAAACAATATACATTTTTTTTCCAAAACACATTATTACAATAATACATACATTGCTTGAAAACTTTCTTTGTAAAAAGAAAATATTGAGTATACTAATTTTGATAGTTACTGTATCTATACCATCATTAAAACAAAAGACGTCTGTTGAGAAAGGAAATATTACATTATCTATTGCCTGCTAACATTGCTACTTAAAAATATATTCCCTTACAAGAAATACTATTTATATTTAATTTACGTATGGCTTTTCTAGAACTCCCTCCTTTTCATTAATCTCCTTACATTGCCTGCAGTTGTAACACGATAGCAAGTAATAAACCCATCTTCCCTTACAACATATATTCCTTATGTTATTTTCCTTCTTTTGATAAGCTCAATAGCCCTAATTCTAAATCTTACAACGTATCTTATTTGTATCTCTATATGTATGTTGTGTAATGGGGTTAATATAATTAAGGTGAGGGCAGGTGGGATGGTGTGGAATAGAACTGTTGATAAAACCGGTAGAGGAAGAAATGACCATTGGAAAATATCCTGCTGACTGCATTACACTATTCTTTAAGGTTCGTTACATAACCACGATCTTTATCATATAAGCTGTGTTACCCTTCCTAAAATATCTAACTAATCTGTAAATCGTTTATCTAATAAACACTTCTGAAATCAACTGATCAAGACACTTAGCTTTTTTCACGATAAAAATAAAAACACCGTTTGTTAATTTTTTCCTCTATTAACATACTGTATGTGCAGTAAATGCACCTTCGTCATATAAAGTGAAGATGTATAGTATTTGTTTCGTTAGTTAGCTATTGTTTTGTAAAATTTAAAAACTCAACGAAATACATTAGGATGCATTCGCCATTACAATAGCACGTTACTTAATCTAGGTCCATTTAAATGTATTTTAAATATTTAATGCCATGACTGATGATTTAAATGTGCTTTTAAGTGACATGTATACACCAGACGCACAGTCCAATCGATTTGAAGATTTAATACAATTATAAACATTAATTTATTAGTAACTGTAAACAATTGTGTGCTATATTAATAGCAGAAATTTCAAGACTTTCCATTCACTACGTATCTTCACATTTGCCACTTACATTATCCATCCATCTATGTATCCTTTTTTTCAACAGCCCATTAACAGTTTTAGCCAGATTCAATACAATCTTCCGCTCATATTTGTCATATGTCTTCATCGTCCAATTCTAGAATTTTATTTGGCTATCTCCACCTCAGCAATGCATGTTGGTCAAGTTGTAGCCTACATTATAGTAGCAATGCAGAGCGTGTCTAAAAGAGCATCGTATTTTTTTTTCTCGATCAGTATACAACCTCTACGGCGGTTTAATACTAAACTTATTTACAACAGCGAATGTATAAGGTTTACGGTTGGGTAATATATATTTAACTCCTAGCTTCCGAGTTTCTTGATCACAACACCTTAGATACGCATCACCGCCTCTGGTGTCTCACCAATCCCTCCCCTTTCTGATGTTTTTGGCCCCATGACCTCACCCCTACAACCCTCGTGACCCCATGACCCCACCCCTACAACCCTCGTGACCCCATGACCCCACCCCTACAACCCTCGTGCCCCATCTCTTTTCGTACTATTTATTATGTATGAATATGGTTTCTATTGCTCCTTTTTTGTATCGGTTTTATTGACATAACATTCAAACAAACATTGTAATGATGTTTTAACACTAATTAAATAGTATTTAATATCTACTGTCCATTGGTCCACAGCTTACATGACCCCATGACCCCATCCGTTTATCTCCTCACCCCCCCCCCCCTAGACCCCACCTCTTTTCACATGGAGTTGAATTTCCGGAAAGTCATCCTTAAAATGGTTTTGCCTACCTTTATTAACATGTACGAAATTATTCAAATTCTTTCATGAGAACACTGCTAACCAATTTTTAAAACTCCACCGTATCCCCACACATCATTATAGCTTCACACCTAGCCACCCAGTAGCGTAGCGAGGGGGGGGGGGCGGGGGGACATATGTCCCCGGGCGCCGACCCTAGAGGGCGCCAAAATGGGTTGGAAAAATAAATTGAAAGGTTGAGGGGGGTGCAAATGAAAAGTTTGAGGGGGGTGCAAATCGAAATCTCGACGGGGGGGGGTGCAAATCGAAAGTTTGAGGGGGGGGGGATGCAAATCGAAATCTCGAGGGGGGGGTGCAAATCGAAAAGTTTGTCCCCGGGAGCCGGGAAGAGTCGCTACGCCTCTGTACCCACCCAAAACATGTCGGTACTAAGCAGTCAAATAATCATGGCTACGACTATGCACATCGACCCTAAAACACAACACTTTATCTCCTCCCGCTCAATCGCTCACATACCAACCTGTTCGGTAACACCCCCCCCCCTTCACCACCCCCAACGACCTCACCATGCCCCCACCCACCGGAACATCAGCTTTGATTAGTTTTTTTTTTTTTTTTTCCTGTTATATCTAGTATTGTACAGCCATCCGTGACGATAGTTTACAGACGACAATGAAAACATCAAGCAGAGCTTTTAATTACCTCCCCTTATTTTTACATCGTTTAAAGCCTAAATTTTCTGCCCCTAATAGCCGTAAATAATAATTTTACCGGGCTCTACGATTGTAAACAACTCAAAAGACTGGTAGGGTGAGGGTGGTAGCGACATGGTCTGTTGAGTATGCATGGAGAGTGAGAGAGGGGAGGTTCGGCGTGCGTCTACGTCTTGTCCCGAATGGTCCCCATGAAGAGAATTATATACGTAGATGTTTATTGTACAAAATGGGATGAAATCAACGTAAACCTACTTTATTTTCGACTATTCTACTATGTTTTATAATTTTCACCCTCATTTATTAGTAAAATGTTCTAAACCAGCCTTAGATCACTTTTTTAAACCAACGTGCTTTAAACCCAATGTATTTTATGTATTTATTTACTTATTTATCTATTTATTCATTATATCTTATGCATCACTCTAACTACCTTGTAAATATCCCCCCAAACGGCATGTTATGTTACTGCAATTACAAAGCAATAGACGCAATCGGTGTTTCTTCCAGAATTTTTCTCCGTGAGGGGGGGGGGGCACTTGATATTTTCGGAGGGAGGTAGACTTTCTTCGGGGGGGGGGGGGGGCAGAGCCCCTTCACCTCGAAGAAAAGCCTTGAAGAAACTCTGGACGCAATACCACAAGCAACAGTATACCAACAGTATACATCTCAGTGCCATACCAATCCGTCATGCAACGGTAAGTACTCCCACTTCTTTAAAAAAAAATGCATGCAGGGCCAGGTAGAGAGCTAGGTCCGCTCCCATCCTTTGATACTACAACTGCATTTTAAACACCCAAGTGTGATGACGCAAGATTACGTCAGACATGTTTAGCAGATATAGGTTAGCAGAAACAGACGATAGGCCTAGTTGGTTGGTTAGAGAGGCCAATGGGCGCACAGGACTGACCGGTCACGTGGGACGATCAGCTGACCACTGAGGCGTGGGTCAGTAGGGAGATAGGCCAGGAGTTGATAGGTAGATAGCGAGGAGTAGAGAAGGTATTAGGTAGCGGTCAGAGACGGTCGTAATATGTAGAACTAGGGAACAGAAAGTTAGTGTTAGGATTGGTCATGGGAGTGCGTAGTTAGTAGTATAGTGAACAGTTAGTAGTAGTAGGTAGCATGTGGTATGAACAGTCAGTAGTAGAAGTAAATAGTACAGTGTAGATCAGTTAGGTAGAAACTTGAACATATATATCATTTTAATAAAGAACAATTATAGTTGAACTTGAACTGTGTGTTATTGGATTCATTCGTCCCCGCCATCTTTAAAAAACCCCCTCCCTCACATCTGGTGGAGCGCGGGTCGAGGACAGGAAAGAAAGTATATCAGCTACTCATGACGGAGTACACCTGGTGTACAGCTTTCTTCAACTCAACACAACAGCGGGTTTCTTCAACCGGAACGAGTGGATTACCAATACAAGGGAACAGTCACCATGTTCAAAAAGATAAGTACCTTCCATCATTGTTTAAACGTTTGGGTTTATACCCGTGCTGGATAGTTTGTGCCAGCGGTTTTTCTGCCTTACACATTCTATTGTTACGCCCTGTTGCCTTAGTTTTGTTTACTTTCCTCAACACACACACACACACACATACACAACCATGGAGGCAGAGTTTCAATGCTATAAACAGGGCATACCATTAGACAAAACAGGAGAAGAAGTTGAAACATCTTTAGAGAGTAGGTTAAGAAACAAGATAGCCAAGATAGTAAGAAATGTCAAGAACAAAAGCAGAGTTAGCGTTAGAATTAGTGAAACGGAAAGTACAACACATAGATAACACGCAACTGCCCTAGAACATCAACCCCATGACCAAGAATGTGACCCGGACCGCCCCCACAAATGATTTTGAACAACGGACATAATTGTGAAGTCAAGTCGAGTTTTGTGTTGATCTAATTAGTCGAGAAAATCGGCGTGAAGTCGATATAGTTGAAGTCGAAGTCAGTGTAGTTAATCTGAAGTCAATAGTGTTATTGAAGTCAGTGAAGTATAAGTCAGAACTGAAGTCAAAGAAGTTATTTGAAGTCAGTCAAGTCAGTCAATAAGTTGTTGAAGTCGTAGTTGAGGTCATAGTGACGTTGTTGAAGTCATGTTGCAGTCAAAGAAAAGTCTTTGAAGTCATATTGAAGTTGTTGATGTCAAAGTGAAGTCTTTGAAGTCATATTGAAGTTGTTGAAGTCAAAGTGAAGTCTTTGAAGTCATATTGAAGTAGTTGAAGTCAAGGAAAAGTCTTGGAAGTCCAAAGTGAAGTCAGTTGTTAATTTGAAGTCAGTCAAGTTACTGAAGTCGAAGTGAAATAAGTCAAGTTACTGAAGTCAGTCAAGTTACTGAAGTCATAAGTGAAGTCAGTCATTAAGTCAAGCAAGCCAGTCTAAGTCAAGTCAGAAGTCAGATAGTGAGAGCTGCTCTACTATTTGATCACGTGTTTAAATGTTGATTTGAAATGGCACTATATTATTTATATACACTTACATGTCTATTCTTTTTTGTGAAGCTATTTCTAAGCTCTGGTAGTGTTTACGTCTATTGAGTTTATTAGGCTTTACAGATTGTTGTTAGATTAGAGTGTACTGATTTTTTTTTTTTTTATTTGGTTATGTTGTAATGTTATTTTTTAATGTTTGTTATGCCGCCAGCCAAATGTTCAGCACGTTTACATTTGGGATTGAGGTTTTTTTTAATGGAAGGTACCTCTGTCTGAATACTTGTCTGCGCGGGCAATAAATGGTCATGTAAAGCCATTGCTCATGGTCTCGTAATACAATTTCAGACCCACCAGCGTTATACAGAATGAGACGAGATGAAGCAGACACTTCAAAGAATGCCGCCACCTGAAGCCCCTAATTACGTTGAATTACCTGGACAACGAACAGCCCTGCCGAACGGAGAATTGCCCTGGTCAAGACAACGGACGCATCGCCACCGCTTCGCCCCCGCACTGGAGTTGAATAACAGACCGCCAGCTACGTACACCTACGTCGGCACATACAAAGGGTAGACGACCCATCGTCCAAGTTCCCAGCGTCGGAATGTTACGTCATTGTTCACCACCACATCAGACAGCTCCAGTTCATCGCATAACCACTCTACGTGGACGTCTCAACCAGCGTTGAGATCAGATTGTTGCGTCATCACATTGACCAACGAAAGTTACGCCTACACCCGCCTCACGGGAATTTACATCAAAACTCGCCACAACCCACCCACCACAGAGGAACGCCAGCAATTACATAACACTTACACATACACTTACACTACTCGCTGAGCCGTTCAACCAGTTACACATTCTACTAAGATTAGCTCAAGGCCAGTACACGACAACCTAGCCAGAACTGAGTTACACATGATTGGATTCACACATACCACATACATTATCAAGCAGAGACACCACAGACGTCAGGATACTTGCACGAGAACTAGAGCAATGACATTTTTTTATTCAGGAACACAGACACAAGAATTTATGTTTTTGTAAACTGTGCTGTCCCATTTTGTATTTGATTTATATGATTGATGTTAGGGATAGAATAGAGTAGTAAGATAGATAGTTGTTGATGTATTAGATTAGTAGCAGACGCTGAAAAATATAATTTGTCAGCTACAGAAAGGGAGGGAGATATGTGATGACGCAAGATTACGTCAGACATGTTTAGCAGATATAGGTTAGCAGAAACAGACGATAGGCCTAGTTGGTTGGTTAGAGAGGCCAATGGGCGCACAGGACTGACCGGTCACGTGGGACGATCAGCTGACCACTGAGGCGTGGGTCAGTAGGGAGATAGGCCAGGAGTTGATAGGTAGATAGCGAGGAGTAGAGAAGGTATTAGGTAGCGGTCAGAGACGGTCGTAATATGTAGAACTAGGGAACAGAAAGTTAGTGTTAGGATTGGTCATGGGAGTGCGTAGTTAGTAGTATAGTGAACAGTTAGTAGTAGTAGGTAGCATGTGGTATGAACAGTCAGTAGTAGAAGTAAATAGTACAGTGTAGATCAGTTAGGTAGAAACTTGAACATATATATCATTTTAATAAAGAACAATTATAGTTGAACTTGAACTGTGTGTTATTGGATTCATTCGTTCCGGCCACTTAAAAATCCCCACCCTCACACCAAGCATACACTTTTATTTTTGTTGATGTATTAAGATCTTAATAACTAATCATATGGAAGCTACTCGATCTTTAATCTAGTTGCTTTGTTCCCAAAAGGGAAGCTATCATGTAATTGCAGAGTGTGGCAGTAAATCAGGTCTGTCTCCCTTTATTTAGATTTCCATCCTTTTATACCATTTATTACATCCGCTATGTTTCTTTATGTTTTCTGCGATACCTAACTTGAAGTTTGGTGTTTATGTTGATTTTCAAAATAAATAAATAAATAAAAAGACTGTTGTAGGTAGTAGGTTTGAATGTACAGGGCGAATGATACTTATTCAATTTTAACAAATTAAAAATGTACAATATAATAATTGTCCCGTCATTCTAAAATAAATACTCTATTTCAGGAAAATTCCAAACCCAATATGAACTAGACCAATATTTTACACACATAGCTTTTTTGTGTATTCCCTCCTCCTTACCGCCCCACACTCTCCCCTAAACACCCAATTTCGCTGTGTTCTCGTTTTCTACCACGTAATTATTGACTCCCCAACACCCATAGCACGATGTATTTTTTATGTATATTTATGTACCAAAGACAACAGGATAGCTGAAAACTGTGAACCTACACCAGTCTTCAAATGTCGAATGATGAACAAAGTATTATAACAGCGGACGCCTCTGAGGCAACTTCGAGGCTCGCTGATAAAGATTACAAGTCTGAGACATAAATAAAGCAAAGAAATAGCATCAAGCAATGATAAAACACAATACCCCCTTCCCCTATAATATACTACCCCAGTTCTGTAATTACAGTCACCTCCTTTAAATTTTAACATATTACCATACCTATCCATCTCCTATTCATAACCCTAAGTTTTACCTAACCTTAACCATTTGTATTCATTATATATATTCTATCCTCAGCTTTGCCATGCCGCATATAACTAAATCAAGCCAACTAAAATCAAAACATTATTTTTAGTGTTGAGTTATTAAAAAATACATGTATCTCATCTATATAACAGAGATCATATAATAATAAAAAATAATGTGATATCTTGCGATGAAATGGAAAAGACTTTAGTTTACCGATAGGAAAATAATTTTTTTTTTTCATTAATAGACTGCCTTTAAAGTTGTATACATGCGCCTTGCGTCAATTGAGAAGATGTAGTGTAGTTTATGTAAGATTTTTTTGTTAGATACAAAAATTACTCCATCAATAATGATTGTTTGAGACATAATTACGCGTGTCATGTTAGTTAATGTTTTAAATACAATGTATTTAAATGTTCATAAAAGCACCAATTTTAAAGTAAATACTTCGTTAATTAAAAAATGAAGTTGAAAAAGCTATGATCAAATTGAGATTTTGATGTTGAAAAGACCCCATGTTTGTGTGAAAGTAAAAGTAAAGTAAAGTTTCCCTTTCAAACCTAACGGTCTATAGTTCAATTAAGTAGAGTTCACTTGTTTCTGTGATCTCGGCATATGAAGAGATTGTATGGTCAGCAATAAACTGCAATTACAAAGCAATAGACGCAATCGGTTTTCTTCCAGAGAGGACGGTCTACTAAATTTAACCCGGATTCGTACTCGAGACTTACGGGTTAGCAGTCCAGCTCTCTACAGCTAGACTACTCAGTCTCAATGTTTTTGTGAAACCGTTATATTATAAGTAAACTAACAAGCTAGTGTATAGTTGTATCAATTAAAGTGATTTTTTTAAGAATTAGAAATTACGTGATAACATCTACATCGTGCAGTGCGTGTGTGGTACAATAAACTTAACACAGTTCCCTAAAACACTAAGTGTTATTTAGTAATGTTTTAGTACACAATTCAGTTTCCATGCATGGTTTTTAAGCAGCCATTATTTCCTTACCAAATCTGTCAATTTTGAAATTACATCATTTCCGATCCAAAAGTCTCCAGATGTTGAACCAAATCCATTTTTATAATCGTTCCAAGTTCTTGTAAAGTTCACATCACCTTTGATACGTCTCTATAAGAAATAATGGCAATGCTAAAATAAACTTTAAGAAAGCTAGTATGATTAATTCTATAGATTAATTATGTTTTATATTACGCAAGTTTTAATGACAATCCAGTGTTTTAAGAAATCAAAATGCTTATGTAAGAGATAATGATACTAGTAAAACAACGGCTAAGTGAGTTGATTTGATTTATTCAAAAGCTTAATCTATCTCTATATATATACTAGGCTCGCGAGCCGCATGCGGCTCTTTTGATGTCAAGAGGCGGCTCTTCAGCTCCATGCACAAATATTAATAATTATTTTATTTTATTTTCAAACTCATCAAATATTGTTCTGCAACACCCGGTAATGAAAGATATTATAATAAACACTCGCTATTCTATTGTAATATTAAGCTAATCCCTATTTCAATGTAACTTCCTATTAACTTCTCTATCCCAAATTGAAACATTCAACTTCATGGTGGATATCACAAATAAACTAAACGAGCTTAATGTACAACTGCAAGGAAAGGAAAACCCAGCCTATGCCTTGCTTGAAGAAGAGTAGTTCGAAAAAAAATTTACTTCATTTTGTTGAAGACACGGAAAGCGGTAAAATACTTTATTTCGAAAAATGTGGGGAAAAAATATCGTGATAAAACCAATGCTACTATTATCATGAATCAATTCGGCATTACTATAAACGAAATGAAGGATGGATTCACTGAGAGATTTGAACAATTAAAAGCAAATGCAAGTACTGTAACGTTTATACTAGATTCTCTCAACACAAAAACAAAAGAGATTATCTTTGAGCTATTTGGAATTGATGCTGGTTCTCTACAAATTAAAGTGCTCGATTTGAAAACCACATATTTGTGGAGTGGTAAGTTTACTGATCTAAAGAGCAAGTTAAAATAGTTGGAGGTCTAGTAAAACAAGTACGTTTCGCTGCATACCTGGAAAGCTCTAAATTAAAACCCGCGAGTTAAGGCACATGGAATAGTCTTCCAGGATGGGACAGTGAGGTGAAGAAGTTGGCATTTGGAGTGCGAGCAAGCGTTTTATTGCACGAATATAATATAAAAGTTAAGTAAGATAAGAAGCCAAATAACAAATAAAAATCTATTGGCGTTCTTGAAACTGAAATTAAGTTATGAGCCAGGGTTGAACAAACTTTCAAAAGGCATGCAAGGCTAAACTATTCAATAATTAAAATTCTATATTTGGTTTACTGATTTTATTATTCTTGCAGAAAGAGATAAAATACTTTAATATTTTATCTGCGAAACATGTATATGCTTTTACATGCATACAAATTATTTCATATTTGAAGCAATATATATATATATATATATATATATATATATATATATATATATATATATATATATATATATATATATATAAATCCTAATCAAATATCATAATATTGAATTAAAAATATTAGTGGCTCTTTAACAAGTGGAAAATTGGAGAAATTGTGAATTTTGGCTCTTCCGTCTCAAAAGGTTGCCGACCCCTGGCTAAGTTTACCAATCTGAGTATTTTCATGTTTTGGAAAATTTGGTGGAATATTTACATACTAATTACTCGCAAGGCTATTTGAACTGCAAAGGCTTCCTTAATAGTATAAATCAAATATTATATTGAATTAACTTCAGATATTATTTTTTACAATTTCAATAAAATTCATAACATAATTTATAACGAAATGTTTATTTAAACGAATGCTATACTTTGTGATTTTCGTTTTCTAATTTAAAATAATATAAATTAAAAAAAAATATTACTTTAAAAAGTTACCTCCCCTGCACATAGGCCAAATTACGTAATCTTTGTATACATTTTCACAAACAATTGTTTATATAAGGAAATATAGCTTTTGAAAAAAAACTAACGACCCTGATGGTTTTTTTCGAACGGGAAATAAAAAAGTTTTATTGTTACCCTCCAGGGTTGGTCTACGACCTCAAAAAATATTAGGGGAATCGTTCGTCAATTTATTTATATCTCATATAAGTAGAATTTCCTTCGCGGTCAATTTTTCGCCCTCGTCGAGGGTTTGGAGTCTGACCAACCATTCTTCCATACGCGCTAGTCATTTTTAGAGGAGCATTAAAAAAAATAAGGCAATTGTACAGAAGTTAAGTAACCTAAAATGTGTGTAGAAATTACCCTGTTTTTCACATAAAATACAAACTTTATATAGGGGAAATACGACTGGTCAGTTTTGACCCATTTCCCGAATTTTCCCGGACATTGTGAGTTTTTTGTGACACCCCAAGGCGTTCTCCTACCACCTCACAAAATTTAAAGGGGGGTCGTCGGACGAAAGTTTTTTTCGAAATTGTGCTCATATAAAGAGAATTTCACTTGCGGTCACTTTTTAGCCCTCGTCGAGGGCTTTGAGTGAAACCGACACGTTTGCCCTACGGCCAAGTCATTTACCTATAAGCATGCAAAAACATTAGCCAGATGTATAGACGGTAAGTGCCCTAAAATCCGTTTTGAAATTACCCTCTGTTTTTCCTATATTTTTACAAAGATTATATAGGGAAATACAACTGGTCAGTTTTGACCCCTTTACGAAGTTTTCCCAGATATGCCGAGTTTTTTGTGACACCCCTAGGTGTTCTCCTACCACCTTACAAAATACCAAGAGGGGTCGTTCGGCAAGAATTTTTTTCGTTATATAGCTCAAATTTGAATTGAATTTTTTTCCACAAAAGGTTTAGAGCATGTGACGTCATATTTTATTTACTTGTGCATCTAGCTACGCTAATCTGTCTGTCTGTCCTTTTTCTGTCTGTTGGGAATGCTCTAGAGAAAACAAAAGGAAATTAGAAAGATGCATAGTGAAAGACCGTGACTTCATGTGGAAGGAATAACACGTTTCCAAAACAAATCGAAATATGTACAGTTCTAAAGCCGGAAAAGTACACACAATAAAATGACGTCATTAAGGGATACTCCGATTTTTTCTAATTTTATTTTTTTTTTCTAATTTAAGATCTAAAAGTTTCTGGATACTTTTACCATGTTTGGCACATGAAAGTAAGTATTAAACAGCAAAAAAAAAAGATTGAAAACGATTTTGGTTTTCATGGAAACCGAAAAAAAAAACTCCGCATTTTGAATTTTTTGGTACAGTTAAAAACGATATTTTATTTAGGCTTATATTTCAGTATATTTTAAAAATTTAGTTACGAAAAGTTTTTTTAAAAAGCTAGTGGTCAGAATTTTACAAAGTCTGCAAAATAGTACACTTTTGAGTATTTAAAAGTTTTAAAATTAGCATATTATTTTCGGTTTTAGAAAAAAAGACAACACTATTAAGCTAGCGCTCTGTGTATTTCTCCCAAAACGGCCAATTTATCTACTATGTTAAGAAAAATACTTATAAACTAAACCTGAATCACAATCCAACCTCCACCATCAGTTTCTGTATCACATAAAGCCAGTTTTTCACCATCGATCGCGAGGTATTTATTAAAAAATGGTCTCTTCATATTAATTTTGCAAATTTCAATAGGAATGGGAAATATCATCTGAAATATAATTATACAATTTATACACACATATATATATATATGTATATATATGTATATATATATATATATATATATATATATATATATATATATATATATATATCCACATACACACACTTTTGAGTAAACACTTTTTGACGTTATAAATTATAAGCTTTATTAAAAGTAAATACGGATTTACTAAAATACATTTCCATATATTTCCATATATTTCCATATTACCCCCCCCCCCCTTCGAAACAATATTTATAAGTTACAACTGGTTTAGGAAAACGAATGTAAAAAGTTTTTAAAGGTACTTGTTTTTCTTAAGATTAATTGGCAATACACTAATTTTTATTTCCGATAACATTGTTTTGCTATATTATTTTAATAATTAAGAAATACTGTTTTAGCACGAAATTTAAAATTTATAATAAATTACTGCTACAATAAAATAATTTAACAAACAACGAAAATGGAAACTTGTCTATAACGTTTATTTTTAATTGTGCATTATTCTAGAATTTATGATCAATTAATACTTTAATATAAGTTAATTAAACATTAAAAAATATTTTTTAAACCTCTCCGTTTTTTATGTTTAAAACTTGCTGGAATAGGTTGCTTGACCTAGGGGTTTCGCTAGGGGTTACCCCCTCTCTTAGTGTTTCACACCAGGTGGTCTGTTCATGAGTGGAGGGAGGATCTCTTCTTCCAGTATAGGCTATACACCAGGTGGTCTTTACCTGGGGGTTTCTCTTTACCTGGCCTCTCACAGTGTAGCAGACCACCTAGTTTCTCCATGAACGGCCTTGTCTTTGGACGGTTTCCGGGAAACAAATTAAATTTGTGGATAACAAACGCGCGTTATACTGCTAGATCACAAGACTTCACAGCTTTAAGCGATTGATTACACATTTTGGGTTGGAATTGTCGGCCCGGTACGAGACGGCTTGGCCTAGTGGTAGAGAGCTAACCCGACATCAGTAGAACGACCGTGAGTCCATCCAGCTATGACGGACACCTAACTCATGTTAGGTAAATAAAGTCGGCTGGGCGTAGTGCTAACCACAATATCCACTTGTATGCCTAGGTAATTGAAACAGATGAGCTCTGCTTCATATGCCCCATGTGCTTTGGGCACATAAAAAATATGTTTGTCGGGCCAGTAAATCTCATGGTTGCTAAACCGAAATCTTTCGAGTTCTAGCGCCCGGACAGAAGAGGTTCTATGGCTGGGTACAGCAGTTTATCTACGAAAGAATACCCTACAGTCAAAAAACCACTTCCTTGTCGGAGAACATAGGCCATGGAAGAAAATCAAGACAGAAAATGCAAGCGTCATATATGGCATAAAACGTTGACGCAAAAGACTTCAATTTTCGTTTGTAGAAATCCGAACGATATAATTAAGAACTGCTAAGTAGTAAAAAATTATACTAAAACAAATTAAATTTACCTCCAATTCATGTAGTAGCTTTTTGTTGTGTTGTACAGTTTCTTGAAGCGTTTGCAATTTGTTTGGAATAGCCAGGAGTCTGTTTTGATTATCTTGTACAGTTCCTTCTATAGTTTCGAGCTTGATGTGATTATCTTGCAGGCTTTCCGTAAGATATTCAAATTTGCTTGGTATTGCCTGAAGCTTGTTTTGATTCTCTTGTACCGTTTCTTTCAGATCTTGAAGTTTGCTTGGGATTGACTGAAGCTTGTTTCGGTTTTCATTTATAGTTCCATGCATAGCTTGAAGTTTGATTAGAATGTCAGACAGAGCGTCAGACATGCTTGTGAGGTCTGTGGCAAACACACCTACATGTGCAATAGATACGTTTTAAAGTGCACAAGCCGACCCGCGGCGTAGCATGCGTCTATTTAATTACTTCATTTTTACTTTTCAGTATTTCAAAATTTGTGAAATCGACACTACCAATGCTGCGACTGAAAATATTTTGATTTTAAACACTCTCTGTAGCTCGTGGAGGACGATTATCCTCACAATCCACCCCCCCTCCCCACTCCGCGCCCCCTGTGAAAGCAGCTGTCCGTGACAACAGTTTACAATGTCAATGAAAAGATCAAGAATAAATAGTTACTCCCCCCCCCTTACTTTCAAATCGTTTAAAAACTAAATTAGCTGCCACTAATAGCTGTCACTTATTCAACCTGGTTCTACGGCTGTAAACATTCGGCGTGAACTACAGCTCAGCAGACTGGTGGGGCTGGTGGTGGTAGCGATATGGTTTGTTGGGCATGCCTGGAGAGGGAGGGAGGGGCGTGTAAACCTGCGTACGTGGTGGTGGTGTCCAGTATGGTCCCACGTAGAGTATTATATATATATATATATATAGATACTTACAGCAGAGTTTTTAATCGATACCACCGCAACACCTTTCCTTACAAGTCACTACATTTTCAAAGTTCTAATTAAAGTTTGTCTATCAACTTGTTGTATATTAAACGTTAAGTGAAATACGCTTTCAAACCTGACAGTCAGTTTGGCAGGCGATGTAGAATTCACCTGTTTTGCTGACCTCGGTTTATGAAAGGATAGTGTGGTCAGCGCTATGCCAAGCCGCAGTTACATTCCAGGACTTAGGGACGTTCTAAGGACGCGAAGTAAGGATTCGAACTTGAGACTTTCGCGTTATCTGTCATATGATGTACCATCCGAAACGTAAATATGTATTAAATAAAGCTATTTGTCTCAATGGTTGATGCATAAAGCAAGAGTACAGCTCTGAAGGATTAGATTGCATTCCATATTTGTGCAAACTTTTAAGAACTATGACCAGTTTTGCTGCAATATTTTCGCGATTAAAATTAATTTATCATCTTAACTATTTTAAAAAGTTGAGAAACGTACCAGAACCCAGAAACAAATTGAGAGCCAACACTAGAACAAAAACTCCAGCAGACATTTTCAGAGTTCCCATGGTTGTAGTCACACAGCGCTGAGACAAATGACGTGATTATAGCTTGGCCGTGCCAATTTATAATTCTATTGAATTTTTATGTTCTGTCTAGCTTGAACTGTGGGCCACATATGGACCTCGAACTAAAATTGTAAATAATATATTTATAATGATATTTCATGATATATCATTAAAGGGGACATGCTCATTTCAAAATCACAAAAAATCCTGATTTTTCGTAATGATGGGTTACTTGCACTTTTGGATATTTTGTCCATTTTTGTATTAAGAAAATAATAACTTCAATGAACAAAAAAAAATTAGGTGTTTTAAAAACCATTTTTTTATCATATTAAATAAAAAATAATTATTTTTTCCCAATCTTACAAACTCTCTATAAAAAGTTTTATATCTGTCATCATATTGTATTTGGCATCACCGGAAAGCTGCTGGATTTCTCATGTATTTGTTAGTCGTATTTTCCATCACCCGGGAAACACCCAAAGCTTACAATCGGTATTACAAATAGCACAGATATAATATTTTTACGACCTACTTTTCGTTACTTTTTGCTTGCTGTCTTTCTCAGTTCGCAGTTCCTTAACACTTAAAAGCCTGAAACTTTTTAATTTATAAAACAATGCCCATGATAATTTTAAATGATTGTTCTTAAAGCAAACTAAAACTTTTGTCACGGGTTAATAATATCTTTTATTTGAAAAAAAGTTTATGGTTAATAATATTCAAATTTGAAACATTTGCATACTAAAAAGGGTACGATATTTCTGACCTTGTAAAATTCTGACCAGACCTCTTTCAAAAAGTTGTCGTGACAAAAGTTTAAATATATGCTGAAATATAAGGTTTTTAAATTTAGTTGGTATCAGTGGTATCAGTGTATACATTAAAAAGCCTTAGCGCTTTTACGAGCACCGAAAAATTCAAAATGGCGGAATTTGTTTTCGGGTTTCTATGACAATCATAATTGTTTTTACCATTTTTTTTGTTGTTTTTAAATACTTACTTTCATGTGGCAAAGACAGTAAAAGTATTAAAAAAGCTTTAGATCTTAAATTGTAAAAAAATAAAAAATAACGTAGCATATCCTCTTAATTGGGTAGATTTAAACGACGCAAGTTTCAACTGTTTCTTAATAATTTTAAGAAATGTTAATAAAACAGTAGTTATATTATAAAAATACAAGACTAAAGGGGCACATATCTTCTATTTTTTGCATTATTAATATGTTTGCCACAAATGCATTAATTGTCCTTGAGATATTCTGTCTGGCATATTTTGTCTGAGATCATGTGTCCTGAGATCAGTTGCGATGGAAAAATAAAACAAACAGTTAACTTTTCAATGGCCCGCGTACCGTTTTTTTTTTACCGTCAACATTTAAAAAAATATTTTAATTAAAAGACATCTATTCTCAGAGTGATCAATATGTATTAAGTTTTAAACCATGTTTATGTTGTAATCTACAAAGTTATAATAGCTGGGGTTATACGCGTATTCAAATTATCAGCCCTCACTAGCCGATGATGAAAATATAATACTAACGAGATAAATGGCCCGTCGAGGAAGGATACAACGGGCGCTAGGTTGATAGTGTTGTCTCTTTTCTTTAAACAAAAAAAATTCAACGCAACAACCTTTACTTAAAATTGAACTGGAAACGAAAAATGACATTAAAAACGGATTTTTATCAAGAATCGAGATTTTAATCGGATTTGAGCTTCATCTAAATGTAGTTATCGCGAATTTATACAAAATGTAGTCATAAGCATATCCCTAAACCATGCACCTAATCCCATTCATGAAAAAAGTCGCATTTAGAGTTTCTTTCAGGCAACTCTACTAGGGAGGAGGGGCTCCCCCCCCCCCCCCCCGCACACACACCCCAAAACATGTCTACCGTTCCATTCAACTAAATAGAATTATATACTTTTTCCAGTGTCCGCCCCCTCCCAGAAAATTCCTACCCGCCCCCGAAAATTTCAAGTACCCCAACCCCTCTCTGGGGAGGAAAAAGTCTGAAAGAAACACTGATCGCATTTGTAGATCGTACAAACTAAAGGAAGAACCTGGGGGGGGGCTTCGCCCCTACCGGATGAGATGCATGAAAGAAACTGTTGACGCAAAACACTTTTTAGATTAGAAAAAGTTCCTTCCCCCAGGGAGGAAAAAGTCTAAAAAAAACACTGGTGTCGCGCTTAGCCACTACCCTAAGAATTGCATGAAAGAAATTCTACACGCAAAACGATTATAAGATTCGTTCTTACGCGGAGGTGGGGCTTCGCCCCTACCCGAAAAATTGCATGAAAGAAATTCCGCAAGTAAACCGCTTCTAAGATTTATTTATTAGCCACTTTTAAGTTTACAGAAAACAACTCTTTTCCACATCACTATTATATATATATATATATATATATATATATATATATATATATATATATATATATATATATATATATATATATATGTATTTATTTTTGCTTCTTTGTCTGTCTTTTATTCATTACTACACTTTCATCCGATCGCCTTGACACTTTGGGAAGTTGTTGAGAATAGGCCTACTCCTGGGGATGATACTTTGAAAAAAAAGTTCCCGGTGGGATGCACTTTGGCGCCCCGGGTTATCCAGTAAGTACTACTGCACCTACGGTAGTTTTAAACAGTGCGATAGGCTATAAATAACATGGGGCGTAAATTAGTTCAATAAATTGAATCAGACGCGTTTGCCGGCGGACAACATATTGCAATTTGGCGCCCCGTGCAATCCCGGTAGCGCTGTGGCGAATACGTTTGCTTTAAAAATTGTGATAGAATATGGATAAGATGGAGTATTATAGTCGTTCACTAAACTGAATCAGGCGCATCTGACCTCGCCCCGGCATGGTGCGATTTGTTTCGGGCTATCCTGGGACTTTTTTTTAACCCCCCCCCCCCCGGCAACGTGCGGGGAAGGGTACGGTGGTATAGATATAAAGATATTATCAAAAGCTAATACTTATTTAGAATTGATTTTAATGTCTGACGTACATTTTAAAGTTTTTACCAATAGGCGTAAAAAATCCACCATTGTCATGTAAAGTAATTAATATTTAATGAAATCTTGTGCGAACAATAATTTTACTGTCTTGTGCCACGGGTGTGAAGTAATTATTTTTTAACCAGGGTACTAAACACCTCCAAACAAGACCTCATAACTTACTTGTTGAAAATACTTTTTACTTTCTCGTATATACGAAGTATAGAGAAAGTCTTGTAATCGTGCGTAAAAAAAAATCGAGATTTTCAAAAATCTCGACGTTTTACACCTCACTGATACGGAAAAACATAATTGTGCAATCTTGTCCGTATGTCTGTGTGTCTGTGTGTGTGTCTGTCTGTGTGTAAACACGATAACTTGAGTACCGTTACAGCTAGGTTGATGAAATTTCATATATAAGTATTATATCAAAATCATAGATTCGTGTCAACTTTTGAGCGATTTCCAATAACCGAAAGTGGTACTTTTTCTACTTTGAATTTTTCAAAAGCCTATAACTTGAGTACATTTTCAGACAGATATATGAAATTTCACATGTAAGTACAAGATCTAATTCTCCACTATCTGTCAAATTTTGAGTAATTTCCGTTGACCGGAAAAACTAATTTACGCTATTTCCGATTTCTCAAAAATACGCATGTAAATTTATAAAGTACTAATAATATCCCGCACTATAATGCACATCTATATTTGGCGTTCACTTGGTGTGCAATTCTTTTTTCTACGAGATTTTATTCTATTTTTAAAAAGTTTAAGTATGTAAAATGGATTAAAAATCATGTCTATATCCCGAGTTGCCATCCCCCGTAGTGTTATATTAGAATATTCGAGAAAGTTTAGGGGAGATCACTCCCGGTTTATTTAATAATAGGATGATTTAAAAAATGAGAACTTGGTCTATTACGTTAATTAAAACTTGAACGAATTATTTTTTATTGTGATTGGAGTTGGTGTTAGTAAACAAATCAATGTTTCATCAACGTTAAGTTTTAAAATTTATTGACATTAAACTACTAGAACAAAACATTCTACCAACGTCAATTTCAGATATTAATTATTTTATATAAATCTTTGTTTTTGTTTAGCAATGGAGTAGGCTGACATAAAATATAATTAAACTTTCAATAATATTCGCGTAATTTAACTTAATTATACGATGCCAATTAAATTAAGGCAATAAATTTGCACTCAATTGTAAGTGCCCAGCTGGCCGAGATGATAATACAATAGTTATCGTACGGGTTCGAGACACGTCATGTCTACATTATAAATATGAATGATAAAGTTGCCTATCGGACTTGGCTGGACACGGGGCAGGTGAAGTAGAGTTCACCTATTTTAGTGACCTCAGCATATGAAGGGATAACGTGATCAGACCAAAGATCAGTCGTAATAGGTGTTTTATAAGACAAAACCGTCTTTTCTGATGCTTTGTTAACTGGGCAGGTGAAGTAGAGCTCACCTGTTTCTGTGACCCCAGCATATGAAGGAATTGTATGGTCAGATCCATGCTCAGCCGAAATCTGTGTATTTAAATGACAACAACAGGTCGTCTTATGTGTGACGTCTATTTTAATGTGGAGTCTAGCTTTTTGTGATAGTGTGTGACAGTATGGAAGGGAGGGAAAAGACAAAAATTGTCAAATAAACGTGACGTCCTTTTTGGATGACCCCAGAAACCCACAGTTATCCAAGAATACAGGGTAGTCTAGTCAACTCTAAAACTTAAACCTACTCCGTTTGGTCTATTAACTTTTTTCCAAACCAATAGCCTTAGATAATCTGGTTCTCTATTAGCCTAATACGAAAGTCATCGTAGCACAGATTTATTTTTCTTTACAGAATTAACCTTGTTTTTTTTTTAAATCTAATTTTATTTTGTTTATTTTCTAGAACGTTTTGCTAATTACTTTTAGGAATCAATATCTAATTTATTTTTTATGATGATTTTATGGCTTTGTCAATTTTTAGTTGTTTTATGTATGCCGAATG